AAAAAAAAAAAAAAGAAGAAAAAAAGATGACTCTAACAACAGCAGAAATCAAACTCACATTTCCCAAAAACCGCGTCTAAATATTCCTATCGAAATTAATCTCGGGTAAGCAGTGCGCCTTCGCGCACGACTGTTTCAAATTTTATTATGGTTAACGGCTGAAAGCGATCAAAGGATCGTCCTGATTGAGCCTAGAGTGGAAAGCAGGGGATGCACTGACCTCGTGTCGAGTATATATTATCCATCACCTATCTGCATCCTCCATTCGGGGCACGTAGGCTGTTATTTGCTTGGAGCCGAAGTGTGTTATCGTTAGGTATACAGGAAGGCAGCTCGCGAAATTTCGGGCACTAGTCTATCTAGCCTACTTCCGGCTGTTCCGGCGTTCCGAGTATCGCCGGGCGATATTGCAGCCATGCTGATAATGAGATGGCAAAGTGAGGATAAAACGGCATGAAACGTTCGTAAGCTTCTTTTCTCTATTCCGGCGCTCTAACACGAGGCTCCCATAGGTGCCACCGCGCGAACCAACGGTTCACGGATTAATTCTGAAAGCATCGTGATTGTGATCGCGAAATATATTTCGGCTACGACATTTCGAACGGGAGGAGGAGGAAACCTGATGCACTTGCACTTGCATTTGCCCTTGCAAGCTGTTTGAGACGAGATTTTAACTTTAATTCCCCCGCATTGTGAGAATTTAACGTGTTTAATTTGAAGCTGAATTATTATTACGCGCAGTGATTAACGACAATTATCTTATCAATACCTTGTTAACGCTATGACTGCCCGGCGGGATGTTTGAAGTGACAGTTGCGTGCAAGAGATGCGTGTATACATTATTACTTGCTGGAACTATCATTGTAGAAATTTTATAAATAATTTGTAGGAATTTTGATAAAAAGATGGTTGTTTATTTAAAGTTAAATAAAGAAAATTCATTTAATAATGATTATAAAGTGACGTTTTACACTATTTCCTTAATTGCTAAACTCGCTAGACTCGCAGCTCTCAACTCACTCTCTTCTCTCTCTCTCTCTCTCTCTCTCTTTCTCTCTCTCGCGCGCGCAACTCTCAATTCACTGTCTCCTCTCTCAAAACTCACTCTGTACTCTCTGACCTCCCGACACTCGCTCCTTTCTTCCTCATCTGCACAAAATTCGTCATTCATACACACATACATACAAACGCATCCGTACCCTTAATGTCTTGGACGCTAGGCCTGGAGGGCTAGCCATAAACAATCCCAAGTCCCAGGTCTAACTTTCTCTACAGTTTATGGTACGTCACTTGGAACATCTGCAATTGTTGAGCACTGGAGAAATCTCTGGGCCCTTCCCCAGAACTTGCCCAATTGTACTTCCCACAATTGTACAATTTTATTATTTTAAGTATAGCTAGAACAATCGAACCTGTCGATAAGAGTGATTTCAGACTTTCGTGTTTTACAAGTGCTCAAAAGACGTTCCTCTCTTAATTATGATCTACTCTTTAAAATAATACGCATGTTTCTGTGTATGATGTTCTCTTACAATTTTGTTTTATACAATTTCTTTTTACAGAAAACGTTCTTCAGAATTCCTGTCAAACTGGGATAATACAAAGATTCAAAGCTCGTGGCGTGGTCAGTTCAAAACCATGATTTGTAGAAAATATCGGCGACTACTAAATTCACCTGTATATTACTCAATGATTTGAATTTGCTCGAATAAAATTATGCAACGAATTCAGTTCATTCATCTTAACCAATAAATACATCTACGTGATACAATATAATATAATCATAACTAAAAACAACTTAATCGTATAATGATATAATGATATAATCGTGTAGCAGTAAAAAAAAAATGTAACTCTCAATCAAACGAAATACCATACTTAATCGTTCTGCAACCATGTCAAAGAACACAGGAGCAAGCCAGGAAAACGAAGAGAACGTGTCAGCGCCGGAAAGGAGGAATTCGACCACGAAAAGAAGGCAAAACGGGGACGACAAGGTCATCAGGTTCCGCTGTGACTTCCCTTCGACGCAGGTTAAGGTGATGTTGGCCAGAGGATGGACCCAGGTAAGTAATGAAACGATCTTAACGAACGAGGAACGGAAAGTGGAAACTCGACTCGCGTGTAAATGCGACTCATTATGTTAACTGCGTTTGGTGAGTATGCTCATCACGCGAAATCGCTTTGAAGAAAATTATTTAAAAAAGTCACTGTTACTTCTGCTGCTCAAATTAAATTAAAGTTAAAATTATTAAAGAAGCAGCGAAAAAATGCTGTTCAATTAAGACAGCGAGGAACCTTTATAAAATGTATGTACAATACACATTTGGAAGAGCCAATGATTGGGAATAATTAAAAATTAAAAGTAAAATGTCGCAAACGTAAGAGATTTTTAGAATCTGGCGAAATTTAAAATTCGGAATTTGAAAAATTAAAAATCCATAATTTAGAGAATTTTTTTTAGAAATCAAAAGGCAAGCAAAAAGAATTCGAAAAGAAATTCGTTCGAAAAAAAATTACATACAAGAAATACATAGAGAAATACATAGAGAAAGATGACAAATTGTTTCTGTTTGCAAATACATTGATATTATCGACAGAATTTAAGCATTTGTAGTTCTTTTACTTAAATATTATTCTTTCTCGTTATTTTTTAATTGCTCATAGCCGAGCAATTAACAGATCAAGAGCTTTTTTTTATTGCTTGAATCACGAAATGACCGCTTTCCCTCAGGTAAAGATAAAGGCAAGCGTTTTTATACTTGTGGTATAAAAAAAGAAACCGATTTCAACCGTAGCAAAGGGAGATTGAGAAGGACCTTGTTACATAATTGAGATCTAGCTTCTTAAATATAAAGTCTTCCGAGTTTATATTTAGTAATTAAAATATCGATTGAAAGTTTCTTTTAGGCCGAAACTAGGACAAGGAAATATAAATATTCATTTACAGGTCAACGCTCTAATGAAATTTGAAGTTTAACAAATTTTTTTTTTTTTAAACTAAAGGAGAACCAAGAGAGTCTTAAACCTTTCATTTTTTCGTTTTCACACAAATAAAACTGCGAATATACAAAGAGTTAAACTAGAAACAAAATTATAACTACAGAAGCTTCCTTACTGCTTTTTTTTTTTTTTTTATAGGAAATACTTCTGCGACGCGGTAAGTTTTTGAATTTTCCAGAAATGAAAAAGATAACTTGGTTAATTCTCCTTAAGTATCCTACATATTCTATATATTCGTCAAATAACACGTACACTGTATTATTAATATTATAAATATCGACTGTCTCTTGAACAAATGTTACAGCTTCATAATTGATTTCACTTCAACTTTCAAACGCAGTAATGTAGCAAATGTGCAATTAAAAAACGACAATAGCTGTCTCCAATCTGCTGAAACCAAACTCTAAACTCGACGAGAATAATTTAACCAAACGAGATAAAGTTACAAATTTGAAATTGGCGAGTTAACGAGCGCTCAATGAAAATCGACCAACCATTACACTCGAGACGAATAAATCACGCGTGAACACTAATTCGACTAATTGTAGAACAAAACGGAGGCTTTCGATTAACGAAATGATACACGCGAGAGTGAACTGTGCAAAAACAGCGGGGGGGGGGGGGGGGGGGGGGGGGGGGAAAAGGAGGAGGAGGAGGAAAGATGCATACATGCACGTGTTACAGCTCCCAGAAGCAGGAAGCAATTTATTATTCGACACAATTCGCGGTAATCGTATCCACGAATAAATTACACTTCCTGACACTAATATATCGTCGAGTGACCCTCCCACGCGAATCCTGAAGGGATTAGGCCAGCTCTTGAACGCGTGAAATTCATAGTAATCAAGTTTTCCCACCATCTCTTCTTCTAAAGGAACGAAATAAACTTCACGAGGTTCAAACAGACTCTGCTCTTATCTACCTTTATATATATAAAGGTTCAATTTCACATTGTGATCCGATCTCTTAAAATTTTGTATTTCGAGTTTCACTTGTTAGAATTATAGATGCCTACTTGGTGCATTATATGTATATTAGATGTATAATCACCGGATGTATAACAGTTAATAAATGTCTGTTGAAGAACGAATATTATTTGCGGCTCTGACGGTGTATTTTGTTATCAAAAATGCCAGACACATATGTTGTAGATATTGAAGAAACTTGTATCAAATGTGTAATACAATGAGTTATTTACATAATAATAAATAAAAAATAAAATAATAAAACAAAAATAATTACAACGTAATGATATAACATTTTATAAAAGAATATATTACACACATTCGTCACAGGGGGCAAAGTTGTGAGTTAAGAAAACTCCCATGCAATCATTTGACAAAAAACAGATGAAAAATATACAACAAATATTATTCAACAAAGTCCTCGCTCCAAATTTCCCTTTCACCTCATTCTTTCGTAAAAGAAAAAAAAAAGAAGAAAATTGCGAAAGAAATCACTATCATAAATTTACCATCTTTTTGAACTTTCTTCTTCAAGGTAACAGAGCCTAACGACCAAAACTGGCACCTCTGGTGGTGCGAGGTTAACGACGTTCGCCAAGCTTTGGACCTGAAACTAGCTCCCCATCAGAGAATTCCTCACTTCCGTAACCATTACGAACTGACACGAAAGAATTACTTGTACAGAAATTTGAAACGATATAAGAAATTGTTACTGAAGTCGAATAAGATGGACGAGGCTAAACTATGCGACGGCATGCCGCTGACTTATGAACTACCCAACGACTTTAGATTATTTGCGGAGGAGTATCACAAGCAGCCTGGATCTACTTGGATCGTGAAACCTGCAGGAAGATCGCAGGGCAAAGGTACAGTTGTCACAAGCAGATCGTAGATATTTGTTTGCGTTTTTAGGGAAACTTGGAATATAATAGAAATATAATGTTTTCTAATAAGTATTTTACTTATTAAATGTCACATTATTGTTATAAAAGTAAGTAAATAAATGTAAGAACGAATATTTCGTTTTCAATGTGCTTTAGATATTTTTCCATATTGTGTGTTATGCTCTGCACGTAGGAATCTGTAGGAAATTTAAAGATGCAACAACTTGAAAGTGCATTGAAAATATTCCCATGAAATATCCGAAGTATTACACTTTTTTGTAATATTCAGTAAGCGTAAAATAATTTTCGATATAATTTAATCTCTTCGATATAGAAATCGTGTAAAAATTCCTGCATCTATCAAAAAAAAAAAAAAAAAAAAAAAAAACAACTCTATCGTGGAATATCTAACAGAACGAAATTAGCAGATAAATACTTAATATCGCTGATAACCCAGTAGTAAGACTGATGAAACCAAAAAAAAAAAAAAAAAAAAAAAAAATGAAAGAAGGAAGTAAAATTGTAAAATTCTACGTAACAGGCTAAAGTAACAAACCAATTTCATTTTCGTCACTTATCATTTCAACTGATCAAATTGTTTCACGAATTTTTACACGAATTTGCATATTTATTAAAATCCGAGAATAAACTCACGATCGTGATCCTCCTCTACGATCTACAATTAACAGGCATCTTCCTGTTCAGAAAGCTGAAGGATCTGTCCGAGTGGTGTAGCAAGGAGTTTGGCCAGCAAGTGGAAACAACACCGCCAACGGAGACTTTCATCGTGCAGAAATACGTGGAGAACCCTTATCTCCTGGCGGGTTAGTCCTCCGAAATAGACTCTGCTACACTCTGCATTCAGTTCGCTTATCGCCAACGAAGAATACCCGTTGTCGAGGAGGACAACCTGCGCTCGCTAGCTCTGAAAAGGAGGTGGCGAGGACAGCGCCCCAGGGCTGAAACCCGCGAATCTTTGCGCTCACATCAGCGTCGCCGAAAGAAGAAGGCATCGTGAATGTCAAACTGTACAAAAGCACTCTGCTTCGATGGTCTTGCAACCTCTGCATAGATACGAGCTCGTTTGTGCATGTTTTGTTCAACTCGTTCATTTGTTTGGACCTGATTGCACGAGGATTTTTTTCTTTTTCTGATTCGATACTGTAGGAATCTTCTCGAAAGAGAAGGCTTCCACCTACGATTCACGTAGGAAACTGCGAGTTTGTCAACGAATTGGAACATTTTAGAATCACTTTTCAACCGTAAAACTGTGGGAATGCTAAAACCTAGTGCAGGACAAGTTTTTATGATCTCGTGATTTGTGAAACACTACTACTCTACAGTATTTCGGTGAACGATTTCAGGCAGGAAATTCGACCTACGTATTTACACTCTGGTAACCTCGTTCCACCCTCTGAAGGTTTGGTTGGCCAGGGAGGGATTCGCGCGGTTGTCCGGCGAGTTGTTCGACCTGGAGAACATAGATGATAGCAGAGTACACTTGACTAACATGGCCATACAGTTGAAGACTCAAGCAAGTGACGACGATAAGCAAGAACTGAAGAAAGGTTGCAAATGGGCGTTGACGAAGGTTAGAGAATATTTAACTGCGAGGCACGGGCCCGACGCTATCGAGGCTTTGTTTCAACAAATTGCTGGTTAGTTTGTTACTAATTAACACGTTGTTAGTAATTGTCACGTGCACGAGCACATTTTCCCTCAAAAAAAAAACGCGGTTTTCGAGTTGTTGTTATAATAATGTCGTTGCAGGGACAGTCTTCGGTTAATTCTGAAAATTTTATTTATTCATCTTGATGATGCTAAATCGATACTGAATTTAATTTGATTTGATTGGTCGATCTTCCTGATTCGTGCAACATTTTGTAAATACCACTCGTTATAAATTTTGCGCACAAATTAATCGATAACGCGAAAAAGCGAAAAGTGTAAATTATATATATATATATATATGTTTTATTAATAAAGATGAAAATACACACTTTTCACTTTTTACGCAAAGACGGAATATACGTAGGTACGTACATATACATGTACATACATCGCATTCTCCAAGTCGTTTAAATATTCATACATAATACTTTTTAAATTTGCAACAACACTTTTATAATCTTCGTTCAAATATTCTTAAATGTTGCCAAACACTCTACGTGAATTCTGTAGAATTTTTAAACTATTAAATACCATGAAATTTGCATAAAATCTCCATTTGAATGAAACGAACGAATAAATTTCGTCGCATTCGGGCGAGGCAGTGGCCTCGCCGCAAGTAGCCTAAAACAGAGTTGCCTGCACCTCGATTTATTACGACCGACTCTCCCCCGCCATAAAACCATTTATCGATCGCACAGGCGTGATAATGGCCAGTTTGCTAGCGGTGCAGTCGGTGATCATGCAGGGAAAGAACTCGTTCGAGCTGTACGGCTACGATACACTTCTCGACGAGGATCTGACGCCTTGGTTGCTGGAGGTGAACGCCTCGCCGGCGTTGACCGGCACCGATACCGAGGATTATCGGCTCAAGTTCGATCTCGTCGACGACGCGCTAAACGTGCTCGACCTCGAGGCTCGTTTCTCCGGCAGGGAGACCAGAATCGGCGGTTTCGACCTATTGTGGAACGACGGCCCGGTGTGGACTCATTGTCCAAATCCGTCTGTTTGCGGCGAACCACCGACCGATCTTCGAAAACTCAACGTTTTCCTTGGAGCACGGAACGACAGAGTTGAACAATTACGTCGACTCCGGCAGTGTTTGGAGGAAAAGAAGAGCAGGGTGCAAAACGATCGAGCGAAAGTGAGAAATCGAGAGTGAAGAAAAGGCTGGGAGTTTCAACCCTTTGGAACAACCTCCTTTTCACAGCTGTTGTTTGTTAATACAATATTCACTAATTAATTAATTAATTAATTAATTAATGATGTATTGATACATTAACATTATATATTCAATGTAATTGTAATCAATGTCATAAATACGAATAAAATATATTTATTAAAATATTATTTTATATATATGAATTTTAGAAAATTCCACAACAAAATTCTTCTGCAAAATTCTTCTTTAAACTTACGTTCCAGATATGTCGTTCCCAAAAACTGAAATATTAAATAGACGTCAATATAATAGACGTCACAAACACACGAGACACTTCTACTCGCAATTTATCAAAACTCCAGTGAGAGACTTACGTTTCAAAGATCGAAACTTTACGCGAGTAGAACAAATTAATACCTCAATTTCAATGTACATCTCTCTGGGGCACTTTTATAAAAAAA